CTCGCCAGGGCTTTCTGTGCCCCGCGGGTGGGGACACCGGGGCTGCCCTCCCTGCCCTCGGACGGCTCGTGGCCGGCAGCTCTGCCAGCGCCTTTGGGCTTGAGGGTCTTGGGGCCGGGGGCCAGCACCTTCCCTGGCCGGGGGGATGGAGCCCCGTGGGGGATGGGGGTCCCCAGGGTGCTCGGGGGGGCCGTGGCGTGCGGCTTGCTGTGGGCCACGGTGCGAGGCACCGGGATGGCAGAGACGTAGTGGCTGCGGCCGGCAGGGTTGACGTTGGCCATCCCGTTCATCCTGGCGAGGTGGCTGCCAGCGAGGCACCCACATCCCCTTGGCCACACCAGACCCTGGTCTTGGCCCCCACTGACCATGGCCACTCAATGTCCCCATCCCAGGAGGAGGCCGCTGCATCCCACACCCCAGGGTGAGGACATACATGATGTCCCCCAACATGGATCCACAGGGCCAGGGCACATGTGACGTCCTCCCCCAAGGACCCTCTGCAGCCCCATCCCCATGTCCCCAGGTCCCTGTGGCAGGTCCCTGCAGCAAGGCCACAGGGGCACAGACCCTCACCAGATAGGGCTGCACCACAGGCAGGATGGACCCCTCTTGGCCACCCAAAACCTTCTCCTGGTCCCCAAAACCACCTCCTGGTCAACCAAGACCATCCCCTGGTCATCCAAGACCATCTCCTGGCCACCCAAGATCATCTCCCAGACACCCGAGGCCGTCTCCTGGCCACCTAAGACCATCTCCTGGTCATTTAAGACCATCTCCTGGCCATCCAAGACCATCTCCTGGCCACCCAAAACCTTCTCCTGGTCCCCAAAACCACCTCCTGGTCACCCAAGACCATCACCTCATCATCCAACACCATCTCCCAGACACCCAAGACCATCTCCTGGCCACCTAAAATCATTGCCTGGTCATCCAAGGCCAACTCCTGGTTACCTGAGACCACTTTCCAGTGGCACAAGGACCAGCTCTGTCACCCCATTCCTCAGGCCATTATTGGTGTCTGAGCCCCATCTCTGCCCTCCCCATCCCCAACATCCCCCCACATGGTGCCAGCCACCCCATCTCTCCATGCTGCTGCTCTCATCTTGCCCCACAGGGACTCTCCCTGGCACCACCACCCAGACGGTGCCCTGTGTCCCCTTGCCTTGGTGTTTTGCTCTGTGCAGATGAGGACAGGAGCTCAGCACCCCACCCCATCCCACCCAAAGCACCCCCAGACAGGCAGGACCATCTTTGCCACCACCAGTGACAGGGATGTCGGCACGGTTGCAGTGAGTGGAGAAGCTCATCCCTCCTGCAGGCTTTGCCCGGGCAGGCAGAGCGGAGCTCCACAAGAAAATCAGCTGTGGAGCAAAGCTCCATCTCTGACCACCTCCCGCCTGAAGCTCTCTGGGAAAAAAAAACTCAAAACAAAAGGTTTTCTCCAGGGGATGGCGTGGTCTCTAGAAAGATGGGGAGATGTGGCTCCACGGGCGCCTGTGCCAGCCTCTGTCCCCTTGCCCCGGTACAGCTGTAGTGAACTGAAAGGCAAATGGGTGCCACAAATCTCCCGGGACACGCATTTCGTGGGTCGCTCCAGCACGGTTCTGCTCAGCCTCCTTGAAGGAAAACCTCCAGGGAGGGGAGTGGAAGCTTTTTGGGATCCCCGAGCATCCTAGGGGGGACAATCAGCTCCAGGTTGGCCACCCGCAGTCCCCGTCACCCACGGGGGGGTTCCTCTCCCCCGGCGCTGGCTTAGGGCCGGGTGGGTGCAGCGAGCACAAGCGGGTCTTTGTGCGGCCGCTCCAGCGAGCGCGTTCGGGGCCGTGCTGGAGCCGAACGAAGCCGTTCCCGGCGGGCTGGGGGGACGCTGCCGCCCAGGTACGGGGCCGCACACAAGCTGCTCTGTTTGCAGCCCGGGACCGGCAGCCTGGCCGCCTTTCAAACCACCCAGCCGAGACGGAGCTTCTCCGGAGCTGGAGAAGGTTTCTTGGCAAGCTGTGGGTTGCAGGGGGACGGCTCCCATCACTCCAATGGGAACAGCACCCAGCCTCAGCCCTGCACCCGTTGCATCTCCCAGTGGAGGATGTTGCATGAGCAAGGTCCAAAAATGCCCCGAACCACCCCGTTTTGCCTCTTCCCCAACCTACAGCTGCTGCGAGCCTGGCTCCCCCCAGGCTTTTGGGAACCTGCAAGGACCAAGCCTTGCTCCGCACCCTGACAGCGAGCCCCTTTGGGGTGGCCACGTCCCTGCCACAGGCAGTGCTTGGGTGAACGCACACAAATTCCCTTTTGCCAGACCCACATGAGCTGGATCACTTGATCAACAGAGCCACGGGTCACGGGGAGAAGGGCTGATGCAGCAGACAAGATCCAGGCATCGCAGCACCGACTCCAGCGCCGGCCAGGAGCTACAAAGGTCTTTTCAAGGCAATTTTAATGAAGGGCAAGAGGGAACCGCCACACACAGCTTGGGGCTTGCTCTTGCAGAAGGCTTTGACATGGCCAGGGAGGTTTTCTCTCTCCCCACGTCCTGGCTGAGATGTCTGCCTCAGCTTGCCGTGGTCATGGCCTCGAGCCACGGCACTGACGGATGGAGCCGTGGGACAAGGCGCTCAGGGGGTGTCTGGGACAGATCCATCCCCGAGCCGCTGCGTGGGGTGAGATGGAGACAGGCACTGGGGCTCTGCCACCCCCCCGCTGGCAAATAGGTCTGGATCCGGCCCTGGTGGGCAACCACAGCCCCGAGTGAGGGGCCCTGTGCTGGCACCAGCCCGCACCCAAGGGTGCTGCGGGGCGGGCGGCAGGAGCCAGGCGGGGGCGTGCGGGGCTTCCCCTACACCCATGGAATTTCCTTGCACCCATAAAGGTCACTCCTGGGAGCAAAGCAGCCAGCACCCAGCACCCAGCACCAGCCAGGAGCTGGAGACCAGCACAACGCTCCCAAACCCGGCTTTGCAGCCCACCCAGCAGCCAATATCAGCAGCAACCGGTTCCCCTCAAGCCCTTCAGCCCTTTTCCAGGTTGTGCCCCACAACCCACACTTACGAACCCCAATTTTGCACTTTTTTTTCACTCTCTTTAACCCAGCCCCTTGCCCCAAGAGTGCTGTGCCCAAAGGCAGAACAGTTCACAGCCTTGAGCTGTAAAATACCGTGTGCAAACACCAAGGGGATCAACCTTCGGGCCTGTAGGCGCGAGGATGCCCGGGATGGGGCCAAATGCCAGCGAAGCTCCAGCCTCGCGGACACGAGGGGTTACACCACTGGCACCAACTCACCTATTTCACCCTCGAGGTCCCTTGCACAAACATCTCCGGCCCCAGGGGCTGCTGCTGGTGGGTTTTCTCCTAACACGGAGGGGAATCATCTGCCGCTGCCTCCATAAAGCCAGTCCCAAGCTCCTCTTCAACCAACTCAGGGGCAAAAATAATTCATCCAGTTTTATGCTACGACCTTACCTTCACCAGCACCCTCTGAGCATCATCAGCATGCAACACCCCTCCGGCCCCGCCTGCTCACCGGGCACGTGGCATCAGGGCTGTAACCGGGTTTTATAGATTTTTTTTTTTCCAGTCTATTCACTTTGGATTTCTCCCTCGTGGACACAACTTCCATTTCTCCCTTCTGAGCCCACCAGCGGCCACCCCCCCCCCCGGCGCCCCCTCCCCGGCGAGGCCGCGGCTGCAGCAGAAGCCAAAGCTGCCACGTTGCCCACAAAAAATCAATCCTCCTCTTGTGCTCGCAGGGTTGAGGTTTCCCAGGAGATGCCAATGCCTGCTGGGAGCCGGGCTCCGGAGCCGTCCCCTCCCCGCACACACCTCCGGGGTCTCCGAGGACACCCATCGTTTCACTGCGCCCGGATAAGCATGGGTGACCCCCCCCTCGGGCTTCACCCTGCTTTAGAGATGCCGGGGGCTTCCCCGGGGCTGGGCAGGGTGAGCTGTGGGTGCGGGCCCGCTCCCCGGGCTGTAGCACCAGCCGGAGCCTCGGGCTGGGGTCCCGCACCCAGGGATGCCACCAAAGGGATAAACCAAAGCAACTCCCACCAAGTCCCTATTCCCCCCCCTCAGCCCCAGGAGGAGCCGCTCCTGCCAAGCAGCCCTCCTACTCATCCCATCGTTTTATTAACGAGCACAAACTAAAACCATTCCCGGGAGAGATTTGGCCCATTCTTCTTCCAAACAAATTCTTCATTTGCCTCCAGATTAATATTTTCCCATCCAAACTCTGCCCCCAGGGACTGGGTCCCACCAGCATGTGCCCCACGTGCCACGGCGGCAGGGGAGCGGGCGAGCGCAGCGTCACGCTGGCGTCCTGCCGCCGCTTTGCCCAGCTAAAGCAGGTTACGGCTTGACCTAGATAGACACGGACGGCTCCTTTGCAATTAGCTCGAAAGGGAAACGACTTTCGCCTTTACTGCAACCCGGCCCGTGTTCCCAAGCTGCATGTCCCAGAGCAGCTCTTGGGAACCAGCTGCCGCTCGCCCTCCGGGTAACGTGAGCACCAGAAATTTGCACCTGATGCTTTAATTTTGGGACTTCCAGCCACCGGGTGGGTTTTTGGCCCTGTCCCCTCCCCAGGTACCAGCTTGGGATCACTTGGTTCCGTGGTGGTGGAAAGCGCCAAATACACACAAGGTATTTTAGCACCAGGGGATATTTTGGAGAAGCCGCAGCAGCGCTGCGGGCAGCAGAGCCCTGCCTGGGAGCCAGGGCTGAGCCTCCCTGGGCAGCCGGAGATCCCCGTCTGCCGGTCGGGGGGAGGACGCTCATCCCAGCTACCTCCAGAGCCCAGGTCTGGAGCACTGGGCCAGTATCTACCGGCTCCAACGCTGAACTCAAGTTTTCCCTCAATTAAAGACCTTTAAGCCCAGAGACGAGGCGGTTTCTGATCCCTTCGGATGATGCCGTCCACAGAGACGCAAGTGTTCACATTGAAGGAAAATGAAACAGCCTTGGCCGAGCCGCGTCCTTCATCCCAGGACAAACACAACCCAGCACATCCCTGAAGGCATCTCCTTCAAAGAGGCATCTGTTGTGCTCAAGCTCAAGCTAATTCCTCGGCCGGGTGTCCGAATGCATCTCACACATGCGATTTTAGCAGCCAGAAATGAATACAGGGACCTGGAGCCCAAGTCTCATTTCATGCCTCCGTTTCGCATGTGAGGGGTGACCGGAGCATCCCCAGCATCGAAGCAGATCCGCTTTGGAGCCATCCATCACCTGAGCAGAGCTGGAAACAGCCGCTCCCCTGGCTCCTGGCCCTCCTGGCCCCACGGGGCTGCGCTGCTCCCGACCCCGCGCTGGGGCTGCGCCGAGCGGCCGAAGCCCCCGGCTCCTCCGCGATGCCTCGGGGCGATCCAGCCTCTGGCTCTCCCATGATCTCAAGAGAACAGCTAACGGCTCTGCCAGCGGTTTGCTCTGTTCCTGAAGCATTTCGGGGTGGCTTTTATAAACCAGATTAAATTCATTTCTCTTTTATGTCTCGCAGCTGAGAGATCCCTGCCAGGGATGAAACTCTGCCCCGCGCCCCTGGGGTAATTGTGGCAGGAGTCTGAGCATGAACACTTAGTGATGCAAAAAGGTATTAAACCCTTCAGCCTCTGCTGGTGTCTTGGTGTTACTCCGTGCCTCAGTTTCCCCACCCTGATACGGCCTCTGCTAGGGGTGAGGGAGCTGAAACCAGGCTGATAAATAGGAATAAAGGAGGACGGATCCTTCCCTGGGTGTGCCGGGCTGCAGAGCAGCTCTGTAAATTGGGAGCCGTCCTTGAGACGCCCGTGGGACCGGCAGCACAGGGGGGCCAGGGGCTGCGGCAGAGCCGGCTGTGCAGGGTGTCCCTGGGGAGATGCTCAGGGGCTGCAAAGCACCCTCTGTTTTTAAGGGTGAGGATGGAGGGGGGCAGCCCAGGGGTGAACCCTGGGGTGTGAACGGCCCGAGGAGCTGAGCCCACGCCGAGGGACAGATCCTGGTGCCGCGACACGGCTGCCCCTCGAAGCCGCCACGCGCACCTTGCAGCCCCGCGCAGGATCCGGCCCTGAGCTGCCTTCAGGGATGGCTGCGCTCCAGCGTGGCCTCCTCCCCGGCACGCTCAGGAAGGATGACAAAGAAAAGGCTCCTTGTGACACAAGGGACATAAAACTTTCCTAAGAGAAACAGAGAGAGCAGGGGCAGAAAGGAGCCTTCAGAGGAGAACAAGCTGCCGATTCAGCCACCAGCCTCGTCCCTCCGGCCCCCGTACCCTGGCCGGGACCTGGCCTGCCTGCCAGCCGGTGTCACTGCCTGGGACAC